CGTGCGATTTTCCTTTTTTTTTTTCCCCATTGCCGCTATATTATGTAATTTTATGCAATCTTCTCCCTCTCTGTTTCGAACTCATCCTATTGTGTATGGCACGCCGAAGCGCGCAACAGAATTGAGCAGACTTCGCCACGACAGTGTAGATAAGAACTTTCCATAGCCGTCACGTAACTGTATCCTGGTGGCCCTATCTCGTGTCTCGGTTTCGTATCAAGCCCACACAAATATTCCATTCTGCGAGTGAATCGCACGCAAGGAGGCATCCCTACCTATGCATATAAATCCGACCTAAAATTCAGGAAATTTTGTGATTTTTGCGAATTAAGATTCCAGGAATCCTAAATGTACAATGACCAAGATTCTCCAAGGTAAAAAAAATAAAAAATAAAAAAAGTTAATAAATAAATAAATTAATTAATTAAGAACCAAAAAAAGGATGTTATTGAAGAAAGATGTTTTATTAAGCGACAAAATATTTAGAAATTTACAATAGCAACAAAACGCCTTTTTACTGAACACAAAATTTCAACAATAGTATAATTGCCAAAATTCAAATAAATACTGAAATTAGTTGCAAAAATCTTGAAAAAAAAAAAAATTAAATTTTTTTGAAACAGTTTTAAATAAGAGGCTTCTACAATAAGTTTCACTATTGGCCAAATTAGAGTATGACGGCAAAATCGACCATGACAATCTGGGAGCGATATGGGATAACCCATATGGAAGAGAACCGAGCGTTGGAAGTACCGAGCTTGCCAAGCTTTCGTCAAAATCGAAATGCCAGTTGCCTCGCCCTGGAGGCCGATACGTGAGCCGAATCTCTCGCACGAAATATCAGAGAGGGAATAAACGTTTATCGAGGGCGCGAGGGAAACAATAAAAACAACTTGGCAGCTTCCCGAGAGGCCGAGGTGTTCGGCAAACATGTTAACAGCAGAGGCTCTCAAACACTCCCCCAACGATTCAATTTTGTGTCTTTTCAACTACGGTCAATTA